TGGGTACAGGACCAGGAGGGGCAGCTCCAGCTCAGCCCCGCAGCCCAGGCAGGCAAGCCTGGGCACCCCCAGCGCTGAGCTGCAGAGATTAGCACTGCCCAAATGTGTCTGTACTGGGAGGCTGTGCTGGCTCTGTGTCTGCCAGGAAAGGGTTTGCTGCTGGGGTCACTCTTGGATAAAACTTGCAGCTCCTTTATCAGTTTTTCCTGTAACGCCTGCTGCCATCCATCTCTGTGGGCTGGAGCTGCACTTGGTTTTGAGGGTCTACCAGGGGCGGGATCTCAAAGCTGTCTGATTTTACCTGGAGCACATATGCTTCAAGGTTTGTTTAAAGTCAGGCCAAGGCAACACTGCACATGCACATGATGCATGAGGAAAACATTCTTGTGCCATTTACGACTCTCCTGTTTGCAGGACATCAGGAAGATAAACAGCCTGCCAAACCGTGATGTCTGGGTAAAGCAGCCTAGAGACACCCCTGGAGACACCAAGGTAGACACGGAGCTGCTTTGAAAACTGGTGCATCCTCTGAGCTAGGGGCAGAGCTGGGACCTGCCCACTGGTGCATCACCCATGGGGCAGGTGTGGGAGAACAAGGGTATGGCGGGGAGAGAGGTGGTGTGAGACATCCAGGACCTCATAACTTGGGGGAGTCAGCGGAAGGGGAGAACTGGAGGCAGATGTAAGGGTGAGAAGGGGTCTGGTCTGGGAGAGGAAGGGAAGTGGCATGTGACCGAATTAGGGATGCCTGCCTACTCCATCCCCTGTTTGGGACAAGTATGGTCCTGGTTAAAGTAGCTGCCTTTGGAGGTTTCCAGCCTCAGGCCTGGACTCACTGTTTCTCACTTTCTTTTCCAGTTGTAAGAATATCAGTTGTAATAATATCAGATGATCTGGGAAAAACTGTTTTACTCTGAAGATCAAAGCCCAGCCCTACCCAGCCGTCCAGCAGCCCACTGCCATGAGAGTCTCCTGCGCCCCATGTAGGTGCACCCCAGATCACCAGGGTTTTCTGCTTGAGGGGTGGGAAGAAAGAAGGCTGGAAGATTATCCCTGCACACCCAGTCCTCACTTGCTGCCTGATTGGGAGTGCCCAGGCCTGGAAACTCCTTGCAAATGCTGAAGGCAGACTCTTGCCTCGTTTCCCCAGAATATTTTGGTGTTTTGCTCCTCATCTCTGGCTGGGCCTCACAACTGCTTGGAAAGAGGATCAGCCCATATATCTTCTTTGCAGCTGGATCATGTCAGTGGGGAAAGAAGCTGCCTGGCAAAGAGAGTTTCAGCTGCATGTCCACGGACCATGTCTAACCCTGCTGCCTGGCTTATGTGGGGTGAGGTGGGGCAGGCAGATGTCCCCCCCGACCCCTAGGCTGTCACTGCTGGAGAGACCCAACCGAAGGCAAACAGTGTTTGCAAAGTCACACACGCGCCTGTGTAGCCTGGAGATGCCTCATGGAAGCAGGGTAGACCTGATGGCCCTGGTGCTTTCCTCCAACCATGCAGCTGAGCCAGAGCCAGAGACTTGGCCTTCTCCATCCAGCCTAGTGTCCCCTCTCCCCTACAAGCAGCAACCCCTTTCACTTAGGGAAGGGTGGGCTGGCCATGGTCCTATTTTTGGGGTTGCATGGAGCTGAGTGCCCTGTTCTGGGCCCCTTCTGCAAACACCATTTCCCTCTCACCCTTCAGCCTGAGCCCTTTGCCTGTGGATGTCCAGAGCCCTAGTCTTGCACTCCTCAGCCTGCTGAGCCCACCTAGCAGGGAAATGGGGTGCTCTCTCGAGGCCAGCTTTAGGGTGCCATGGGCAGCCCATAAAATTATTCTCAAATCCTTGTACCGGAGCCATTCAATGGGCTAGGGCTGTGCCTGGAGCAACCATCACAGTGTCCAAACTTGGTGTGGGACTCTACTGGCGCCCTTGGATCTGATCTTGCTTGCTGGGCTTTGGAAAGGACTTAGTTTTCTCTGTAGCTTTGTTTGTTGGTTTTTTTTTTTCCTAATAAAAATTGCTCTTTCTAAGATGCTCCCCGTCACCTGCTCCTCGGATGGAACGGGGAACAGTTTGCTTCCCTTTTTTCTGGCAAGAGGAAAAAAGGCAAAAACCCAAGACAACTATATCCTCGGTGGGGTAAAAGCAGTCTGAGACTCTTCCCTTCTTGTTACACTGTCTTGGACCTGTTGCAGTGGCTGAGCGAGCCCGGGTTGGGGGCTGTGAAGGAGGGTCTGGTCCTCCACTTACGACAGTGCTGTCTTATCAGCGTCCCTGGCCCTCGAAAGTGACAGCTGGCTGGCTTGTGTCAGCCCCTTGGGCACTCACGTATCTCAGTCCGGAGGGTTTAAAATAGCAAATCTCTGAGGCCACACAATAGCTTGGGCTTATATGGGCTCCTGGGGGGGAAGGGGGAGCTGCGGAGGGGGCCATGGCTGTGGCTGCCAAAATAGCAGCTCACAAGTGTTGCATTCCTCACTGGGCGCCGGGCACATTCCTCCCGGCATTGCCCGCCCCGGGGTGGGTGCTGGAGCCCCCTTAAAGCCTCCTGCCCCCAAAGAGCATTTCCCAGATGCCCACTGGCTTCCCCTCGGCTCCTGACGTCCCGCGGTGGAGGTAAGGCTGGGGCGGTGGGGTGCCCGCTCGTGGTGTAGGATGCTCGGTGAAAGGGCGGTTGTTAAAGACCCAGAAGTGATTTGGCTCAGGGCTAATGCTTCTGCCCAGCTCCTTGCACTGAGGTGTATTTTTGCCGTGAAAGCATTCCCATGGCTAAAGCATCAGGACCTTCTCCCGGCAGTTGTATTTGCAACTTGCCCAATGCCTTTTGAACCACCCTGATGTGTGCCAAGGTGTCTGAGCAGGATTTTGGACGCCCTGGTTTCAGGGGAATCTCATAGATTCCTGTTCCCTGTGTCTCTGGAGGGGACAGGAGGGATGCAATGCCCACGGCAGAGTCAGGCCAGCCTGGTCCTGGCTTGCTGGCAGCCCATAGGGTGGGTTGGAGGTGGGATGCTCCTGTGCATAGTCTGGCCCTGCCAAGCAGGAAGGAAGCAGCCACATGAGCCATACTGGAGCAAATGATGGGAAAAGAGAGGTCCATGTCTGGGTAGCCTAAGGGAAAGCAGGGATTGTGAACTGTAGAGGATTAACTCAGCCCTAGAGGTGTGACCAGCCAGCCCTGAGCTAATGGAGCGGGGGATTTTAAGGAGCAGGAGGGATATCTGGATTATTTAGTCCACAGCGAATGATGGGAGATTTTTTCCAGTCAATACCATGTGCAGCGTTTACTCTTTAACTCTGCAATACGTCTGCTGAGCTCTCCTAATTATTTCAAAACAAGATTTCAAAGATTTAATGGAAAGGTTTATCTGTTTCTGTGCAGACGGTGGATTAATATTTCCTAGAGCCCCTTTCTGGTGTAACGTTAGTTTTTCTTGCGTACCCCCTTAACAGTCCTGGTTTTGTTGCTGTTCCTCAGCAAATGCTCTGCGGGATCCAGTGACATATGAGAGGAGGCGAAAGGATATGTAGAAATAAGCTTTCATAAATGCATGTTTGCACTGTTGTGGACAGGAGGGACTCTCCGCTCTTGTGTCATGAGATGACCACATGAAGACTTGTGCACTCAGAGGCCACATAAATGATATGGCCAAACTCTGGGGGTAGCAGTACCATACCAAGCCTGGGGGAAAAGTAGGGCCAGGAACTGATGTTCGATGGGGAGCGGAGATCGAGGGGATGGTGTTGGAGGGGTGTGCTTAGGGCCAAGCCCCAGGGAACAATGACGGCAGAAGCAGGCGGTGAACCCGAGGCAGACAGGGCTGAGCTCTGAGTTCACTTGTCTCCAAAAAGCACCTTCTGAGTCATTGCTCAGAAGTGAGATTTGCCAACCCCCCCCCCGGGAGCCATGAGGATGCAGAGGCACCCCTCCTGTAATGTGTCTTTCCCATGATTGTGGATTCCAGTCCTGGATTCAGCATCTTGATTAATCTTGATCCCATCCTGGGTAATAAATACTCAACAGATGTACCCAGGACCAGTTGTTCCCAGACACCCATCAGGAGGAGAAGTGAAGCGGCGCTGCTCTGGGAACAGGTGGTTTAGCACATGGAAGTTATTTCTAGAGCTGCCTTGTGTTGTCCTGCCGCGTCTCAGCTTTGCTGAGGTCAGGCATGAACACGAGTGGTGGACAGGCTGTGCAGGGGCTTGGGCTGATGCTTGAGGCTGCTCCGGGATGCCCAGGGCTGGGGCTGATCTTGTGGCTGGTATGTGCAAACCTCACGGTGGAGCTTTGGGTGGAAGCTAGATGAGGTGGAACGGTGAGTAAAGCCCTTCTCGCCATGGCTGGGAGGGAGACAGTTGTCCTGGGAAGATAGGCATGGCTGTTTCTGCAGAGTTATTAGTCCTGTTGCTAAACCAGGCTGTGAATTATTCCTTTTAGATAACCTCAGTCTCAGGGCCAGGACCAGGAGACAAATGCTCCTGCTGAGCCCATGTCGCCCCATTCCAGAGCACACTCTGCACTGGAGAGCTGGGAGGTCTCACTGAGATCTCGTGTTGTGGCTTGTGCACGACTGTAAATATGAGATAACAAGATGCCCCTGTGTGTTCCTATATCCCAACTGAGCTAAGAATAGTCAGGAAGCAAAACAATCTGAATGTTATAATTGGGTTATTTTCCCGTGCCCTGAGCAAACACAGCACCCTGAGATGGCTGCGGCAAGGGGAGCTGCGTGTCCTGGACATGCTCCTGACAGCAGTTATCAGTGTTGTGTGAGGCTGTGTCTAATCTCCTGCCTCCTATTTGAGGCAAGCTGTGATCCTGGGATGGGAGGGGAGAGGGGAGCCTTATCTCTGTTGCGATAATGCCATCACAGCCAGTCAGGGGATAGCTCGAAGCTCCAAGTGCTTTGGAGAGACACAGCACCTCTGTGCCTGTGTCTCGGGTGCTGGAGGACACGCTGTGCTTGTCCTTATCTCAGCTTCTGACCCTTGCTTTTTCCAATCTGCCTTGAATTCTGCCAGATAACCAGGCATGTCGGACTCTGAAGAGGTTGTCGAAGAATATGAGCAGTAAGTGGTGTGTTTTTAAACACCCTTTCTTTCTCCTTATTCCTGCCTTCCTGCAGGGTCACAGCATTGCTTAGGGGTGCTGTTTGGGGGACGCCAGCTCTCATCGTTCTCTGCACTGCTGCTGAGATAGTGCCGAGACCCCCAGCAGTGAGGAGTTTTGGGTGAGGCGTTGTATCAGCACGTACATGGGGAGGGACAGCCCCTGCATTAAAATTGCTGCAGTCCAAATCAGTGACATAGGGCTGGGAAAAGCTGCTGCTGCTGGGGTCCTACTGCCACATCCAGAGCATCACTCCTCAAGGCCCAAATCTGAGGGCAACTTTTGTTGGTGAGGGCTGCTGGGCCATGAGGCATGCACTGGACAGAAGGAGCTCAATATCTGAGCTACGAGGTTCTAGGGATCCTTTCAAACACAGCTCCTACTTCTCATCCACCAGCAGAAAATGTAGATCTGAATCCTTCTCTTATGCTTGAAGGCCATGACAGTCACATGTCTCAGCAATCAGTTTGACCCCTGTGCCCAGTGTCCCCTGGACACAACTGAGGACAGCCTGTGCATCTCTCCCGAGCTCAGGAAAGGGCTTTGTGGCAAAGGTGGGATGTGAGATGCCTGTTTCTAGGATTACAGGCCATGGTCACTTGATCTTCTCAAGATGCAAAACAGTGCTGTGCTCTGACCACTGTCAAAGCGTCAGTGGAGTGCTTCTGCTCCTGCTGTCCACAGCCTGCAGGGTGCTCTGGGTCTTGTCCCATCCCCACTACCATCTTACAGCATGCCACACAGCAGCCTGCCCAGAAGTTGTTGCCTGTTCCTATGAAAAAGGGGAGCCAGCTTTGAGGAAATTTCCAATTCCCCTTTGGCCTCACTGGTGGACAAACATGCCTCATTGCAGCAGATTGCTGTAACTCTGCAAATTTGTCTTGTGCTTTTCAGGGAGCAGGAAGGTAAGAGGATGTGGAGCATCTGCAGCTGCCCTGAGGCTGGAGCTAAGAAATGATCAGAGCAGCTTCAATAACCTGCGTCTTTTTCCCTTCCCTCTCTCCTGTCCACACATGTGCTCTGCGAAGAGGAGTACGTGGAAGAAGGTAAGTGTTCCACTGGTGGTTGCAAGAAACAAGTGCTGTTGGTTTAATGTTTTACTTGGGTGGGTTGTGGTGGTAAGCTCCTTGACTGCAATGGGCAAGTCATCACCAGGAAAGGCAGATGAGGCCACGTTGTAGTTTTCTCAACCTGAAACGTCAGTAGGATCAAACTCAGCATGAATTTTCTTGGGATGTCTTTTGTCAGAGTGATCCCTTGCCTCAAAACAGGGGTGGAAATACTGGGCTCAGGTGCTGGCAGAGGTGTGAGCCCAATAACGCAATGGGAGCTGGAGCCTCAGCTGAGTGTATATTAATGATGCTCAAGCACAAACCTCCAACTGCCTCAGTCTGATGAAGAAGCAAACCCCATGGTGCACACAGCTGCTCTGGGACAGAGCTGGGCTGTGCATTTGTGGCTGGATTTGGGAGCTGGGTTTTGCTGAGCCTCTTGCTGCTTCAGGGCACTGCCGGGCAGGCCGGGCTGATGCACAGCAAAACGTCCTGAATGTGAAGAGCAGAGAGGCACAAGGGGGAAACGTCTGCAGTGCTAGAGTCCTCATCTCATGCACACCATAGCTACACCCCGCAGCTTTATGGCGTTCGACTAACCTCTGCACTTATTCCTTCCCCTCCTCCCTGGCTCAGAAGAGGAAGAATGGATAGAGGAAGAAGACGGTAGTTATTGCACCTTTCTTTATTTCATCTTTCCACTGCTGCTGTGAATATGTCATGGGTTGGTGTGTCTTTTGCCTCTCCCTGGTTGGGGAATGGTTTTCTTTCATTCTTCCACTTCTCTCTCTTGCTTCTTGCACTGCCCCCTTCCTGCCCTGCTGTGCTGTGCCTATCTGCTCCTGTGTCTGTGGCTTCTCTTATGTCTATCAACCAAATGCACTCGTGGTTTGCTATCTTCTTTTTCTTTCCTTCTCTCTTGGTGTGGGACCACAAGTTTTCCCAGGACCTGTGGGTCCAAGCACTGCTCTGACTTCAGTGGAGGACTCTTGTGGGGATACTGCTCCCTCCAGTGGAAAAATGCTCCAACAGTGTCATAAATAAGATTGTGAAGGTGCCGAAGGCACGTTCTCTAATGCCAGCCAGTCTTGTTCTTCACTGGCTAGAGAAGAGCAATAGAAATTGCTCCCCCCCATCCTGGGGTATAAGACCATGACAGCATGAGAGGGAATGAGGGACAAACCGGAAGGTGGTATAAATAATTTATTTTTTTTTCTCTGTGCAAGCGCAGAGAGCAGCCCTTGGGTAAGGGTTAGAATGAAGCCCTTTTTGCTTTCTGAGCTGCTGCTTCTTTCTTCTGTGGCTAAGTCTCCCCCGAGGTCTCTCTCTTGGCCGGCTCCATGCCACAGTTGTCCTGATACCGGGGTCTGCATACGTAGGGAATGGCAGCTGTCGGACTAACACTGCCTGTTATTCCACAGGTCAGGAAGAACAAGTAGAGGAGGTGGAGGAGGAGACCGAAGAAACAAAGGCAGAAGGTGCGTGATGCCTTCACCAGAGAGCTCCCGTGGCATGGCTGGAGCCATGCTCTGCTTCGACGGGGTGCCAAGCAGGGTCTGATGACCCAGCGAGGCTGTGACACCAGGCAGGAGCACAGAGGGGCAGCTCTCCCCCAGTATCTGTGGTTTCCAGTGAGGGGGTGTCACAGAACCACAGAATCACCGAGCAGTGTCAAAACTGAGCTGCCCTTTCCTGATCTGAGTGCCTTGGCCCTGCAAGCATGAGGATAATGGTGTTTTCTGCTGGTTGCTGATCAAACAGTTTGTGTCCAGCACTCTGAAATAATGCCAAAAATGAGTTAAGCCTGTTCCACCAAGAGGTCCCCTAGCCTTAGAGGCAGCATTTCCAGAGCTGGGCTCATGCTCTGATATGTCTCACCATCCGAAGAGCATTGGACCTCTTTGGAGCAGAGGGGTTGCCTGGTGTGTGTCCCTGTGCTGTCACAGCTGGTGGGGCAGGCCCAGATCCCAGCCATGCTCCCCAAGGTAGGGTGCCAGGACCCCTCTGTGCAGGGGGCGTTGTCTGCCCTCACGCACGGGTGGTCATATTCACCGCATTGCTTTTGAAACAGAACAAGAAGATGAAACGAAAGCACCAGGAGAAGGTAAAGCAGGAGCGGACGAGAGACGGTTTTGGCAATTTCAGTCCTGATCCCAGCCCCCCCGACACGGGGCCCTTGTCATGTGGCTCTCGGTGTTGAATTCATTTTCTGCTGAAGAGAGAGAATCTGTGGTAATTGATGCAGAGCTGCCCTGGCTCTGTCCTCTGCCAGGGCTGGGGCAGCAGGAGGCCTGCAGGAGGTATGGCTTTGTGCTGCCTAGCTAAGAAACTCACGAAAAATACAGAAGGTTGGGGTAGTACTACTGGTTCTCCAGCCTGAGCTCTTGCAAAGCTTGTCTGGGTTCCTCCTGGAGAGGACATTGGGCTCTCCTGGTGTATCTGTGGGTGAGGGATGTCCATGAGGGACCCAGTCTCTCCCTGTTCGTCCTGGAGGGATGGAGCTGCAGTGGGGATAAGCATGAGGCAGAGGGGAACAGCCTGGCTGAACCACCCCACTGTGTCTGCAGGCAGGGTGCACAGCAGGGCTGTTCTCCAGGAGACAAAACATTGTGTTTTCCACAGGTGGAGAAGGGGACCGAGAGCAGGAGCCTGGGGAAGGTGAAGTATCCATCCTCATTCCTCTGTGGGGAGGGAGGGACTATCCCTTTGCCTGTGTAAGGAGGTACCAAACACCTTTCTACTCAGCCAGGAGCATCAACGTGTGTCTTGGGTTTTGGCACACAGACGGACACCTCACTGCATGCCTCTTTGCTGGATTATGATCCACAGTGCAACCTGTGCTGCTGGCAGAGGGGTAGCTTGGCTCAGTGTTGTGGGTTTTGGGTCAGGGTGTGAAAGCAAATGCTTCTGTGACACTAACGTTGTCTTTCTCTCCTGCTCCTGGGGACCTGCAGGTGAATCGAAGCCAAAGCCCAAGTAAGTGTTGGTGCATTTTCTTTAGCGCAAGGTCTGAACTAGGGGCTGTGCCAGGGCAGAGGCTCCATGTGATGGGCTTAGCACCACACTCCATAAAGGGTATGGGACAGTGAGGCCTCAAAAGCATGAAAGCGGGTTGGGGACTGGGGCATGGAAACAAAAAGGGAGAGAAACAGGCAGATAAACACAGAGTATGAAGAGGATCCTGAGAACGAAGTCTTGAAGCATTTGTGTGCTCCTTGGAGGAGGCCCAGGTGCCCTGTGGCCCTGCAGCTGGAAAAAATCTGTGTGCACCCTAGCCTGGGGTACGTGGTCCGTGGCACAGCCAGGGTCTTGCTTCTTCAGTATGCTCCTGGCCATGGCTGGCATGAGGCACACATTTGCATGAGTGCCAGCATCCCTGGGACAGGAGCACCTGGCTGAAGGAGCTGGTCTGTGAACCATTGCCAGGAACCTGTGGGTCCTCACGGATCCCTGGGCCGCTCTGGTGTGGGAGGCAGAGCTGTCCTCAGCTGTGATCTCTTCATCCCTTTGCGTATTTGTGTGCCCCTACTGAGCATCTCCTGCCCTCCCTCAAGCCTATGGATGATAAGAGGATGGTTTCCAGCACCCTGTGCCAGATCACACTGGAGCACACAGTTCCTCTGTGCTCTTTTGGGTGAGCAGTGGGGTGGCTGCCAGCCCCAGGGTGCCTGGCAAAGGGTCGTGGCCAAGTTGTCTGCAGCTTGCAGAGTATTCCAGCCATGTGGGTGCCTTGGAAAAAAAAAATGCCAGAGGTCTTCCTCTGAGGCTGTCCAGCTGGCAACATCCAGCAAGCAGCATTACACTTCCTTGTCCTCAAAATGTGCTCTTGCTGCATCCCTGGGGACTGCGAGGCTTAGAGAGGAGGGCTGGGTAGATCAGTGCATGGATGAAAGGCACTGTCCTGTCCCAGGTATCTGCTGCAGGCTCACCATCTTCCTGCTCACCTTCGATTGCAGGGTCTTCATGCCAAACCTGGTGCCTCCCAAAATCCCAGATGGCGAGAGACTGGATTTTGATGTAAGTAGTGCACCAAATGTCAACCCCCACGAGGTGATCCCCTCGCATCGCTCCTCCACACTGTGCCCAGCATCTCTGCAGCTCCTGGAGGGCTTCACTCGTGGGTGTGTAGCCATCGCCGCTGTTTCTATCCCGTGCAGGACATCCACCGCAAGCGCATGGAGAAGGACTTGAATGAACTGCAGGCCCTCATCGAAGCCCACTTTGAGAGCAGGAAGAAGGAGGAAGAGGAGCTCATGTCCCTCAAGGACAGGATTGTATGTAGCCTCCCCACTCTATTGCTATCGCCACCCTCTCCCCTGTGGGCACACAGGCACGATCCTTTCCCCACAGTCCTGACAGCAAGACCTGAGACATCCCATGCCCCTGCAAGACAGAGCCTGAGATTTGAGCCAGATTTTGTACCCTAATGCCTGAGAAGCCCCTGGTCTTGCTGCTGCGATGCTGTGGTGCCTAAAGGAGACACACCTTCCGCCACCGTCACTGGTCCACATGCTCCCTTGCTGGGAACAGCAGATCTGCCCTTGAGGGTCTCAGGGCTTTTGGGGTCAGAGTTGTGTCCCTAGGGACAGAGAGGATGCAGATTCTCCAGGGCGTCCAAGCCAACATCCTCTCTTTCTGCAGGAACAGCGGCGAGCAGAGAGGGCAGAGCAGCAGCGGATTCGCAGCGAGAGGGAGAAGGAACGCCAAGCCCGCATGGCCGTGAGTCTCCCTCCGGGGATGGGGGGGCTCAGGCTGGTCTTGGGTAGCACGAGCCTGGCCACAGAGCACATGGGAGCACAAGCTGTGTGTTGCATGCAAGCTGGTCCGTGAGGTCTCTGTCTGTCCACTCCTAACCCACTTCTGACCTTGGTAGGAAGAAAGAGCTCGCAAAGAGGAAGAGGAGGCGAGGAAGAAGGCTGAGGAGGAAGCACGGAAGAAGAAAGCTTTCTCCAACATGCTGCATTTTGGAGGCTACATGCAGAAGGTGTGATCCTACCCCAGGCAGTTGCAATGAAGCTGCTGGTTCTCCTGGGAAGGGCTTAGCCATGGGCTGGCCTCACAGCACCATGCATGAGAACATGGTGTTGGTAGGCTGTGGTTTCTACAAGCAGAAGAAGACAACAGGCCACTGTTGTTGTGTCACAGCAGCAGTTGGAGGGCCAAAGTGAGCTGAGAGCATCTGCTCTGCTTTGCAAATGCTGGCCAGGACAGGTCCAGGCTTGCCTCAGGGACAAGGACGGGGGTGGGGAAAGTGTCTTGTCCACTGTTACCAAAATTTCCTTGAGGACTTCATGTGCTTCTGGAGTGCCAAAAGCTGAGGGCAGAACTGGGGATACGGGTACGGCAAAGGCTGGGCAGATTTCCTTCCCTCCAACGGACTGATGGTTTCCTCAGTCAGAGAAAAAGGGTGGGAAGAAGCAAACAGAGCGAGAAAAGAAGAAGAAGATCCTCAGTGAACGGCGGAAACCCCTGAACATCGACCACCTCAACGAAGACAAGCTTAGGTGAGCATGGCTGCAGGAGGGATGTCCAGGACAGGGGCTCTCCTTTAGGTCCCACCTCCTGGGCCATCCTGGGCCAGGGCGGGCTGCCTCGGGCTTGCAGCCAGACCAGAGGGTGAGGCACAGCTGGGACATGGGGGGCATGGGCTCCGTGGGTCTGCCAGGCCACCACTGCCAGGCTGCTGCTGGCAGTGCCGGCCATCAGAGGGAGCCACGCTCACACACGTGGGACATGCGTGTCGCCATACGTCCTGACCGTGGCTCTGGTCCGTGCATGACACTGGCATAGCCGCCTGGCTAATGCATTCCTGTCTGGGCATGGAGTCTGCAGAGACCCGTCCTGGGGGAGCAAGCGAGATGGTGGCATCACTGCCCTGTCCCTTGCAGTGCGCTCTCTGTGAGCCACGTCCCTTTTCTTCACTGACACCAGATGGCTTTTCCCACAGGGACAAGGCCAAGGAGCTATGGCAAACCATCCGCGATCTGGAGGCTGAGAAATTTGACCTGCAGGAAAAGTTTAAGCGGCAGAAATACGAGGTGAGCCGTGAGGTCCTCTGTGAGCTTGCTCGCCCACCATGTGCTGGCTGCTCCTTCTGCTCCCCATCCGGGAGACGAGATGCATTGACTGACTGACGGTGCTGTCACAGGAAAGCTGGCTGCATCAGAAAAGGGCTGTACCCCACCTTGTGCATGGGGTGACAAACATCCCAGAGGGTCTGCACCACCAAAAGCAAAGCCACATCTGCCTCCCTTTTGGAGAAGACCCAAGAACCGTCTGTCCCAGCAGTTGCCAGCCACCCTGGCAAGGCTGAGCACCCGGCTATGAAATGCTGGAGGATGTGGAAGCTGGTGGAAGGGTCTGTGTGGTGGCCCTACGACCTCCCAGCTGCTGGGGATGTGTGCTTTGCACCGTGACAGTCTTCCCACTATGCCGCATATCATACCACAGCAGCATGCTAAATCCCACGCAAGAACCTGGGGAAGAGAGAGTAGTGATGCACCTTTGCCCTGACCCTCGTCCCCAGCTGGGCATGGGGCATCCTGCCAGGCCTCACCATCTGCTTGTGCTTCTCTTGCAGATCAACGTCCTCCGAAACCGTGTTAGTGACCACCAGAAAGTGTAAGTCCCTGGGCAAGCTGAGCATCCTTCCTCAACACCTCCTGCCCCTCCAGGTCCCTGCTCCCCTGGCCCCGGTTCCCTCCCTGTGTATCTCCTGGGTCCCTTGCACCCTTGCAGAACCATCTCCTGTCCTTCTCACTCCTGCCTCTGGGCCAGTGGTACCCAGTGTTCATGGGCCTGCAAGTCTGGCCCAGTGACTTCGGCCCATGCTGCTCTGCTCCTGTTTACAAACTCCCGTTGCCTCCCACCTCCACCAGCTTCCCCCTGCCCCAGAGACCCCGGCTGGAGATGGAACCTGGGGAGACCCCACCGCTGCACATGGAGCCTTGTGTCCTGCGAGGTCCTAATAGCCTCCAGCCACCCCCATCCCTGCAGTGGCTCTGCCCAGCACCTCAGGGAAGGTGCTGGAGATCCCAGCTTGTGTAGGAGGGAAAATCCCGTGGGCTGTGGGAGCTGTGCAGCCCTACAAGGTCAGGGGAGTCTGTCCCCCTGCCCATATGCCCTGCACAGGACTGGGAGACCCTTCTTAGGAGGGTGGAGGTGGGTGTTTAACCCCAACCCTTGGGAGCACCATACTGCTCTCATGTCCCCATCTTGCCCTCCCATCTCACATGAGAGGTGCTCAGACTTCCCTGTGTGTCAGGTAGCAGCATCTCCCACCCACTTACACCAAATCTCTCTTCTCTTCTGTCCCAACACGGCCTGTAACTGCAGCAAAGGGTGAGTACAGGTGTTTTCTGAGTGCTGTGTGTATCCCACTGCACGCATGCTGCATGGACACCAGCGCTGACGTCAGGCTAGCAGTAGGGCTGAGGGAGGAGGCAATCCCAAGGACTGGCAGTCAAAGCTGTACTGTTGACTCTCAGGATGACATGCCAGAAAAGCCCTTCACTGTCTACCTGAGCCTCCTCCTCCTCCTCTCTGCTGACCCATGCCCAGAGCAGTACCTGTTCCCCTCATGCTGGCTAAGGAAAGTGATATGGTGGGTCCTGGCTAACAGCTTCACAGCTTCTGGTTCCTAGGAGAAGGGTCCTGCAGCTGTGGTTATCCTTCTACAACCAGAGATCAAACTCGTTCATTCTTCTCTGAAGGATTCTTGGGAGGGAAAAACATGGGAAGGGAATTGGGGGTCCTTAGAAACACCTGGCAAAATGCATGAGCTTGTTCCCCTGGAGTACCAAAACACACAGACTGATTCAGGTCCCAAGGTCCTACCTGGGGCCACTGAAGACCTTCTTCCTCACAGGACAGTGAGCATCAACCTGAGATGGCTCGGTCCTCTTTTCAGGATTGCTGATGGCACCCACCTTGTCCCTCCTTTCATGGTCACTAGTGCCTTTTTGAATGTGCTTTTCTGCTTCCCTTCCAGATCAAAGGCTGCCCGTGGGAAGACCATGGTGGGTGGCCGGTGGAAATAGATGACTCAGAAGGCAAATGAGGCTCGGCCACAGAGAGGTGTAGTGCCTTTTGGTCAACCAGCTGGCTTCCGCACATCGTGGAGCCTGCACCACAGGGATGGAACCTGGGGAGACCCCACCGCTGCACGTGGAGCCTTGTGTCCTGCGGGGTCCTAATAGCCTCCAGCCACCCTCATCCCTGCAGTGGCTCTGCCCC